TCAAAGTTTATAATTAAGATAAAAAATTTTGTATAAAAGATTTAATGATACATCATTTATGGTCATGATCTTCGTAAGGCGTCTTTAAGATAAACAGGTTCAACTTTATATTGAAAACTTCAAAAAAGGCGACCGCAGAAAGACAATGAATCCTCAATTTTTGACGATGTACAATGCATAAAAACTTAATGTTGTGCTACATTTGACATTTGTGATACAAATTGAAAAATTACGACTTAAATAAGAGGATACATTCTACGATAAACAAATCTTTTTTTTTTTTTTTTTTTTTTTTTAGGGTTGCTATTAATTACTATTAAACCGTTTTTGAAGTTAAGGCTTTAAAAAGTAAGAAACAAATCAAATTCAAATTTACTATTTTATTTTTTGGTAAACTTTATAATGCATTTCGAATATATTCGAAAATTTCTATCCGTTACGTACGGCCTTGTTCTATTTCACAGTACAAAAGTCACGCTTGAGTCTTAATTTATGAACAAAATCAGGCAATAATGGCTTGTTTGCCGAGCGATTGCCTTTCCAATATCTTCTCTTTCCTACAAGATGACAAGGTTGCTCTTCACGCTTCGACATTGGTAAACCGTCAGTGGTGTGAATATGCTATCAAGCATTTATGGAAAGAACCGTTTCGTTTGGTGTTGGCTCTAAAGGAAAGCGTTGATTATGGCGCTCGCGATCGCGCAAAAACTGCCATGCTGACTGAAATGTTAATAATCAGCTTGATTAATAACGAAAATCAAACAAGAAATAATACACTACAACCATCTCATAAATTTGCTTTGATACCTATTCCTGTATTTAATTATGTCGCATTTATCCGTAAAATCGACCTTCAAGATCTAGGACTTGCGATGATAGAATGGTATGAATATGTATTTTCTAAAGAATATGGTCGAAAAACAGAGTCGATCAAGGTTCGAAATGCTATTTTCGGCACATTATTGCAACGAAGAGTTACTAGATTTTCAACAACAAAACCATATAGAGATGACAAATTTTTTATGAAAGAAATAACTGCAAGGATCTGCAAACTTTTGATGATTCAAATTTCGAGACTTGATTCTATTTCAATTGAATCTGCTAGTGTTAGCCCAAGGGTTAAACTCTCTGAAATTCTTGAAGCTCATTTTGAAGAGAGTTCTCAATTCTTTGAGATAACAAATGATTATATGGGAATCATTTCATATCCTGGAGCTAATAATTGCTTATCACAAATTGCAGATTTTTCTTGGAAAGATATTTGTCCAAGAGCAATTCAATTTGTACGTGATCTTTCTTTGGTAGCTAAAAATTTAAAAAGAATCGTATTCGATATCAGATCACGTACATTTGCTGAAGAATCTAAATTAGCCATGACGGCTCTTCATACTTTGATTGAAGCACAAATTGCTTTAAGAGAATTCGAACTTTATAATTTCTGTATAAATGGACCAGATTTAATAAATGTTCTCAAACGGCAAAAAGAAACTTTAAATCGTCTCGTATTCAGGAATTTGAATGTAACAAAATTGGATTATATTTCGGAAATTGAAAGTTTGATCAATCTTGAAGAATTGGAGATCATAGGTGGAAATCTTGAGAGTAAAGAATTAGAGTCTTGGCCAATAAGCATAACAAAATTTCCAAATTTGAAATTTTATCAAGTTGATAACATATCACCACCATCCATCGAAATGATGTCTAATTTAATTGATCAAACATCGTGTTCAACATTGAGATCATTTATATACATTCAACGAAGGAAATACTGTCTTCAATCGACTACATCAATTCTTGAAACCGTTAGTCAACATTGCATAAACCTTAAATATTTTGAATGTGATGCAGAAATAGGATCAACAGATCAACTAATGTCAATCCTCAAATCATCACCATTTCTTGAAACGATAATCGTTAGAAATAAGAGAATTCCATCGAATATAAATGATCTATTACGACATGTTAAGTTGACAAAATTACGTTATTTAGAACTCGAAGGACCATGGAAATTTTCACCAGAATCATTGGATGTCTTTCTTAAACGTTCGAAACCACCACTTTATACCTTTGTGTTGATTAATTCCAAATGCTTTGAAGATGAACATCTTGAGGTTTTATTAAAACGGTTAAGCGGAACCTTATACAAGATTGATCTTAAAGGAACGCATAAACGGTTGAGTTTCGATTTAAGAAAACGAACTCGTCGAGTTGTCGATAATTTTTATTATAAAACCATGGATGTTATATGAATCGAGTAGTATATGTGATAAATTTCCCGGATAAGAGGCTGTGTTATAGATATGAAGTAATAATTATTAAACATATAATTTTTGTTGAACTTAAATTGTAAGTGAAATATAAAGAATTAAGAATTATAATGTCTAATAAAGCTCAAATTATCAAATTTAATTTTGAGATAATCTTAACGATCTTAATATCATTATTATATTTTAAATAGTAATAGTCTTTATTAAATTCTTAAAGTAAGGACAACACGATAATATCATTAAGTTGTTTTAAAATATCACAATGTGTTTATAGAAATTCTCAATAATTTCCCGAATAGTTTATTTATACATTTTACCTTTTGAGAAAGTAATGAGAATCTCTAATTTTAATCCGAATTATTAATAAAAATCTTGATATTGGGTAAATTATAAATTTACGAAAAAAGATTTTATACCGCATATTCTCAATAGAAGAAATACAATAATACGTAACATGATACGTTAAACGATAGGAAGTTTTCTTTTCGTTTCCGATTCCTTTTGATAAAATTGTTTCTCAAAATACAATAATTTTGATTTTTAATGAGTTTATACCCAAAATAATGCAAACTCTATAGTTACAATATAGAAATCCTTGATCAAGAACATCACATCACATTTTTCAGATATTTAATAACAATGAACATTCTTTCGGAAAGGTTTTATATTTCCGTAAATCTTGCACGCATATTTTTTGAATACAGTATTATATTTATAAAATCCTTTGAACATTCACGACACTCACGATGCTTTATAGATTATTTAAAATTCTTATTAACGTTTCTTGACATTTGGTCTCATTTGTTTCATCTAAAAAAGGTAGAGCGGCCATACTTACTGGCAAGATTCCAAACTACTATAGCTTGTGCTTGTCCGTGCCCAAATACCCAAACTCTGGTCAAATGTTTTGTTTTGGGTTTTGGGTTTTGGGTTTTGCCAGCAAGTATAAGGGCAACGTAACTTATGACATGTAATACGCAGGATAACCCATACCCAATGTGGAAAACCATACCATTTAGTCTCTCTTATTTGTATCATTTTTTTTTCTTAATCGAAATCTCTTGCTCTTTTTTGTTTGTCCCAAAGCAAGATCATTGTCGCTTTGTAATTTGTCGTATTTCTTGAACAATTTAAGACAGGATCCTACTAAGACAAGATCTTGAATAACAATTAGTCGAATGATTTGTCTGCCGATTCGATTAAGTAATTGATCAAGTTGATATATATAAATTAAGACCCGATGGCTAATATAAATATTATAAAGTTATTATGTGCGTGTTGACATTCTAACGATCTTTTAGAATAAGTATACATGTGATGCAAAAATAGTTTTCGACAGAGGTTATTTTTCGTTTTGCATTACACGGCATTCGAAATTTCGATCGGGCGGTCAGATTTTTTTTGTTAATCCAAATAAGTCTTTAATTTCTAAGGCTTTCTTGAAAAAGGTATTTTGCTTTTTCAGATGATTTCATGTTCTTTAATTAACTTTCGAATCAAATAAATCATAAGATATTATAAAACCATGTTGAGTTTAAACTTATCAGGTACAAAAATGACTTGTAACTGTAATAGCTATGTACTAATCCGTTATTCATTTTAAAATTTGAAAATTAGTATTAATGTTAGACTTTCAAAACCTACATTCCTTCCCAAAATAACAATTGAAAATACTAATTTAATGATTTATCTTTATGTCAAAGATTTGCTATCAATATGAAACTAGAAAAGACATTCCTGGAATAGACGCAGGAGTTACATATTTATCGTAGGCCTATTTGTATGTAACTTTAAAAAAAATACTGTTCATGGTGTCCACGCTAAATTTGTAAACCTTTAGGTCTAATGTTAACTTCACTGCGAATGATCTACTGTGTGATAATATTGCTATTGTATTAGTTTAACCAAATTGAAGAATAATTTAGTCATTCTTAAATATAGAAAAACTTGTATATTATTTTTTCGGATCTTCTTTGCGACCACTGTAGTATTAGACATTAATTTGTGTGTTATTGATGGCTTCACGTAAACGCGACCGTAAACGCGACTACACAAAAATTTCGTCATCAGATTTTATATGAACGTTATATGAAATCTGATTGATTGAATCTATTTTAATTTAGGGGAATTTACAGATAAGGGCCCAAAAAACGAAAATAATTACAAATAAGGGCCCAAAATGAAAATAATTACAG